TGTTAGTGAAAATATTAAAATTCACAAGTTATAATTAGTGATTAGAAAATTCTACTATATTTTATATTATTTCAAAAACAAAAACATTATAGCGCAAGTTTGATATGGTTCAAAACAAAAAGTGCTGTTATATTTTTCAATATTCGTTTTCAGCCGCGGAATTTTCAATGGTATTAGTGTTGTCGGATATGTTTAATTGTGAAAAAGAAATGCTGCGTTTGTATTGCAAAACTAAAAGTGGCAGTTTTATTGTGATGTAGGTAAGCGTTTGTTCATTTAATATTTAACTTTTTTCATACCTACAACAAATATACATATATTAAAATTTTATAATTCGTATTATTTAAAAAAATGTTAGAAAAAAGTCTGTAATTGACATAATTGTTAAGTAATTTATTCCATTTAAATGTAATATATTACTTTACAATTAAAAAAAATAAATTTTAAAAATATATTAAAAATACAGCTATTAATTGAAATGCTTAGTATGCGAACAAACACGAGAGGCGCTTTATTTACTTTCATTTATTAACATGACAGATTCTAAAGGGGTATGTTTTGTGAGAAAATTATAACCCCAAATCAATTGACGATTACAATTACTAAAAAGAATATGCAGTAACTTATGACATGTTGTAATAACGTGACCAATCTCTTTCATTTGGTTGGCAAGTGATTTTAAAGAGCCAATAAAGAACTAGTTTCCGTTGAATTTTAACTTTTCTTTTCTAGTTTTCTAGTTTATTAACAATTTAATGATACTCAGCTGCGTATCAGAAATATATTCTACACGAATGTAAAGATTTTACTTAAATACAGGGTGTTTCAAAAAACATGTGCCATCTCTCGTGGGAAAATTCCTTACGCAAAAAAAGATTTATTTTTCATATCATTCATAAGTTACTATGAGTAGGACATATTTTAATGCTATAAAAGCTGTCGACAAATTCACTAGGGACGTGGGTTATCACTGAAATAATTTTCTAAAAAAACATGTGCGCCACTGACTTTTTTCCTCTTATTAGTAATAGTGTGTAGGACATATAGTGCCGATTAAAAATTGTATCTAGATATTTTGTCCATTTCGATCTCCTCGATGGAATTTTATCAATCACAATTATTAGTAAAATTAAAATTAAATTAAATTAAATTAAATTAAATAAATTATTTATTTAATGTAATGTATTACTATTTTTTTTTAAATTTATAACACTGATGTCTGATGCTATTCTGGTGCTACCGACAGCAAATTCCACAAAAAAATAATGGTTTTGAAGATAATTACACTTAAAAGTTTTAACCTCCTGTAACTTTAAAACTATGCAATTCCGCACCCATATTATAACTTTTTTTACATTTTTTGATAAGGAATCAATGAGTACGTGACAACTTAATTGCATTAATTTTTTTTAAAGATTGCTATTAGAATAATTGGATTATGACAAATTAATTAAATTGCGTTTATCTCATCATGGACATCGAAATTGGCAAAATATCAATAGACAACTTTTAATCAGTATTTTATGGTCTAGACAATTTTGCTAACAAAATAAAAAAGTCAGTAGCGCACATGTTTTCTTACAATTTGAGATTAACTTTTACGGGAAATGAAGTATAGAGGTGTTTACAAATGCCCCAGTAAAATAGGATTGCCGGGCAATTGTAAACTTGATTTTGGGATAATAGTTAACATGTTAATAAGCTCCAAGATAGATATGAAAAAGACCAAAAAAGAGAAACGTTAAAAATACATTGGTTAGGTTTGTAGGAAGGAGGATAATAAACCGGGTGCGTCTCAAAAGTGGCTCGCCCCCTATAACTTTTATATTTTTTCAGATAAAAAAACGAGATTTGGTAGATATGACATAAATTAGGGTTGATTGACGTATTCAATTGTTTCTGGTCACTTTCTGTTTCACCGGTAATGACTACAACTTTTGATTTTTAAATGGCACCCTCGGTATTTTTTTATTTTATTAGATAGACATTCTGAATACAATGACGTATCATATGCCAACTTTTAACATTCTCGCTTAATAAAAAATCGTATTTTAAAATTCAATCTAGAGTGCCATGGCTATGTTAAAAACACTAATTCTTAATCAAGGAGCCTTGGAAAAATAGATTTCATCATCTAATATTTTTAGTGTCTTGTCCTAACCGGTTAAAAGATGCCCAAGTCGTATTTTTAATCATATCTCAATTTTTTAAAATAGAACGAGGGTGGTCCATTAGCATATTTGGGAAAAGCATTTTTTACGAATAATTTGATACCACATACTTCGTATTTCAAGTCAAATTTTTGTTATGAACCGCAAGTTATAATTTAAAATAAACCATATGCAAAAATGTCAAAAGTTGAGCAAAATAAAAACACTAAATCACCACAATACACCAAAACACTTTTACTTTTACACTGGACGCGCGTTTCGCTAACCATGTTAGCATCATCAGCAGATGATTATAAACTAAAGTACAATCTACAAGTTGAGCGTTTATATACTCGCTCAGTGGGCACCGAGTAGGCGTGGCAAAATCTAGAACGTTAGAAAGTTATAGCCGTTGAGCGTAACAGTTTCTGTTCAAATTTACTAGAATAAAATATTTATTTTTTGCTTGAAGCACTTGGATTTGTTTACTATTCGGACGCATTACATCTAGAAATTATCATTATACAACGCAAGATTTATCAACGTAACCATATCTTATCTGAGCTAAATGTTCTTTAAATCTAGTTAATATTGATCTTCTAGTTTTTTTTTAAAAAACTAGAAGATCAATATTAACTAGATTTAAAGAACATTTAGCTCAGATAAGATATGGTAGACCGGATAAATCTTGCGTTGCCGAACATATTGTTGATAATGAACATTGTATAGATCTTAATAATTTAAAATTAATTAAACAAGTCTCAAATTACAGGCAATTAGATGCATATGAAAGCATCAGAATTCATAAATGTAAAGATAGTATGAACAGAATCAACGGTCCAATTCCTTCAAGTTCTTTGTTCCTACTACTCTAGTGGCGGAAATCTAACTGTTACGCTCAGTTGGCTCTGACTCGGTTGGCTAGATTTTGCCACGCCTACTCGGTGCCCACTGAGCGAGTATATAAACGCTCAACTTGTAGATTGTACTTTAGTTTATAATCATCTGCTGATGATGCTAACATGGTTAGCGAAACGCGCGTCCAGTGTAAAAGTAAAAGTGTTTTGGTGTATTGTGGTGATTTAGTGTTTTTATTTTGCTGTGTAACACCAAAGGTTCCAACCCTCAACCGTAATCAAAAGTTGACATATAATATGGCATTCTATTCAGAGTATTATTTTCTATCGAATAAAGTAAAAAAATACCGAAAGTGTCATTTAAAAATCAAAAGTTGTAGTCATTTCCGGTTCCGTTAATAAATCCTAATTTATGTCGTATACTAACATACCAAATCTCGTTTTTTAACTAAAAAAATAAAAAAGTTATAGGTGTGAGCCACTTTTGAGACGCACCCGGTATTCGTTTTCCGGAAAGATAGATGTTTTTGAAATACATTAAATATTAAACAATGTCTATACCTATGTGGCGGATTCATCTCTCCAAAAAAATCCTTTATGGGTATTTCGCCACTGCACTGCAAGAAAATCTTCAAAATAAAATATTTATTTTTTGTAAACACTTCTGCGTTAAACCTAAACGGACGCTGCTTTTCAGAAGTTATGTTTATAGTAATACAAATTTGCCTAACAAAGAAAAAAATGCTTAACGTTTCGGAAAGTTATCTCTTTCCGTCGTCGGAAGCAAAAAAATACACAGAATAAAGAAAAAAAACTATTTAAAATATTTAAATTCAACTATTCGACGACGGAAAGAGATAACTTTCCGAAACGTTAAGCATTTTTTTCTTTGTTAGGCAAATTTGTATTACTGTAAACATAACTTCTGACAAGCAGCGTCCCTTTAGGTTTAACGCAGAAGTGTTTACAAAAAATAACTCTTTTATTTTGTAGATTTTCTTGCAGTGCAGTGGCGAAATACCCATAAAGGATTTTTTTGGGGAGGCCTTAAATATTTTTTGTACATTTTTGATGAAACAGTAATAAATAATTTGTCTTTATAATAAAATGTTTTATTTTGTCTCCATGGGGAAAATTGTAAACATTCAGTGATAAACTTATAGCCCAACTAAAAACAAACTTGTATAGTTCTTTTCATAGTATTAAGTAAAGTGTTTTAAAATATATACTTTTAGAATTTTCAGTGCAAACGTCAAAGTTTCAAAGTTATAGCTTGTTAAGTTATTTTTGTTAAAATCGTTTACCATTATCCCAACTAACCCTATTATATTTCGACCCTAGAAATACGCCTATAAGTTTTTTTAAAAATAGTAATATTTTTTTTAGTTTTTGGTTAAAAAACATTATTTCTTCATAATATCGCAACATATGTAGTAGATTAAATTTACAAGAAAGAAAACCCAGAAAAGATTTAGTAGTTCTCAAAATTTAAGCAAAAAAACTTTTTTTTTTGGAAATGTTCAAGTAAATAACTTGGTTATTTTGGACTTATCTGTACTTATTTCTAGGACACCCAGTATAATTACTACCGATAAACATAATATTTTTTTCAATTTAAAATAATTATTAAATGAAAATATTATTTCTAAAATTAAAAATTAATTGTTTAACATTTTTTATGTTACCATGTAAATTGAAAATCAAGAGTTAAAAATATTATCAATTAGTTAAAATTTTATTTTTCTATTTCATTTTAAATAATAGGTTTTCTCTAAGTAATATATTACCCTGGATGTTCCTAATGCATTTCTTGACACTTCCAATTAACCTTTTTACATGTTGTAATCGTCCAATGTAAGATTTTCCTCTTGAAAATACTTTAAACATTTGCCGCTCTGGCTTGAGGCGACAAACGGCGCATTCTCCAAGTACGTCACGCAATTCGCAGCGTGCCAAATTGAATATCAACTTTTTCTAAAGCCCCATTTGCTCATTTTCCATAAAACATCAACAAGTAAACACAACAAGTTGCATTCGTTCAAGATTACTCCCTTTATTAATCAAGGTAAGCGCCTATTTGTTTTTTTATATTGTACTTTCTCAGTTTTATTATTGTGTGGATTTGTCGCTCAATTCAAATTTATTTTCAGTTTTTTTATTTTATTTTTGGTATACAAAATTTTTTATCCTGTTAAAATAGTTCAAAGACTTCATAAAATTTTTGACTAATTATTATATTTAAGGACAGTCTTACGCATAATAACAATATACCAAAAACTTTACAAACTATAATTATTACTTTATCAAATTTGATATCTACACGTTAATATTTAAGGAATAGTATATTGTTTTATTAGGAGTAAAAATGACACTGATTGTGGCGAGGCTGTACCTTTAATGACATACAGAGGAGCAGCAAAAAGTAATTTTTACTCCGAATAGAACATGCTGTTTTTTTTCAAACGCCACAAATAATTTTTTAAACAATGTCAAACGTTCCAGATAATATAAAAAGATTTAAAAATAATACCTTGTATGTAATTACATATCGAGAAACTATGATTACGCTCTTTGAATTTGGCACTTTACGTCAATTTAATAATATATTTTTGTTCTTTTGTGCTTATGCGTCAAAGTGCTTCACTTTTGTGGCTATGCGTTAAACTGGCGTTTTTATATTGTCAATCACGTTGCAAAAATTAATGCTTTTGTGACGTATGAAAAAAAAAATTTGATTAATAAATTTTATATCATATTTTTTAAGTAGTTTTTGTTCTTGTTAGTTTTAGAATGCCTTTTTTTTACTCCGCAATAAATGTTGTCTTTAAAATTGGTTTTAAATATGTTTAAAAAAAAATCTCTCCTGGAGAAAATGTAAAAAAAATAAATAAATATATACACTGTATAAAAATGTGTAGGGGGTGATAAAAATCATAATATTTATAACTGTTTACATAGTAATATTAAATGCTAATTGTTTGAAAATAAACTTTAAGTGGTGAGTTAGTTTTTCATAGATATTTAACTACTGAAACAGCAAAATATTTCATGGACAGAAACTTTACAGTCAATTTGGTAATAAATCTTTATGATGATACAGGGTGTAAATAACTAAGTGCGCCAGATATAACTCCTTTATATATAGAGAAGTTTTTTATTTGATGTTTTCTTACAAAATTATATAAATATACAGGGTGGCTCTTAAATAAGTGGAAATATTTTCAGGGATAGTAATACATTTCGGCCACAGAAACACGATTATGCGTTTTTTTGCGAAAACAAATTTTGATTTTTTTTAGTGTTTAGTTAAAAAACATAATTTCTTGGTAATAATATGGCAACATAGGTAGTAGATTTTGAAGAAAGAAAACCCAGAAAGGTTCGAGTAGTTCTCAAAATTTAAGCTAAAACTTATTTTTTTGCTAATTTTCAAAGTAAAATAACTCGATTATTTTGAACTTATCTGAAAAACGGTAAAGAGAAAATATGTTTCTTATAAACACTTTTTTCCTGAAAATATTTGCGCTTATTTAAGACTCACCCTGTATCGGGTGACCTAAAATCACAAAATTATCGCATTTTTCAACAGTTCATACAAAAAAAATAATGTGTTAAACAGTTTTTTAATGTGTATTTCTAATTAAGACAAAAGGCTTATTGGAGTATGTCACATACAGGGTGTTTAAGTAACAACTCCATTTGCAATACTCAATTTTCTAATTATTTATCCCCTTCGACTTATTTTAAAACTAACTTTCTAATGTAAAACAGTCAATATAGAAACTTGTTTTCTCTATATTTTTTCTATACAGGGTGAGTCAAAGTTATGGTTTTCAGAGTCGAGTAGGATATTTCGACCCCAGAAACACGTCTATAAGGTTTATTGGCGATTTTTTTTGAAAATTTGGAAAAGTTTTTTGACTTTTTTAATATCTATAGATAGTTAAAAAAACATAATATTTCAATAATATGGTAGTAGATTAAATTTACTAGAAAGAAATCTCAGAAAAGATCCTGTGGTTTTCAAATTTTAAGCAAAAATCAGATTTTTTTTAATTTTTCAAAGTAAAAATAACTCGTTTAGTTTGAACTTATTCGAAAAACAATAAGAGGAAATATATTTCTTTTATCTAAGTATACCAGTCCTGAAAATATTTGTGCTTATTTAAGACTCATCTTATACCAAACATAAAAAAAAATTATAAAGCTATTAAAAATTTTAAAAAATGTCTCTAGAACACCACTAGAAGATTATTATTTAAACAATATTTTTTTAATAATATGTTATACAGGGTTGTTCACCACATACGACACGGAGTATTGTAGCTAAAAGGTGAGATTTTTACAAATTGTAAATTTTGGGTTCGATGAAGGACTATTAGAGGTACAATTTAAAAATAATTTTACAAGATGCAGAATGTCCCAAATAAATAAAAAATATCAAAGTTGTATTTTTTTAAACGGAACACCCTGTATATTATTACATTTTTAGTTTCTACGATTAAAATAAAGATAAATTTGAATAGGGTTTATTATACTTAAACCTTACCGTTTTTGAAATATTTTCAAATTTGTGAAATTGCAGTGATAATTTTAAGGCTTCATTTCTCCAAGGGTATCAAAGTTTTTAATACTAAATATTGACTGAAGTTTATTTACTGATCAGTTAATGTGTTGCAATAATAAAAATAATACTACCTTATACAGAGTGTCTAAAAATTTATTTTAAATAATTATTAGCTTCAAACGGCAATAACTTGTTTAATTTAAATGGAACACCCTGTATATTTAGGAGAATCAGATGCACAATTTAATTGTCTATCAAATTATATTATACCATTTTTTACCTATCTCTTTAAGTTTCCGTAGAAAATGCATTTTCTTGTAATTTAGAACTTATTTATCAATATACCCATGGACTATTGACATTTTAGATTATTTTTGAAAATGTACCAAATTTTTAAAGAGTACAGATACTAATATTGTCGATATAATTCGTTTATTTCATTAAAAAATAAAAAAAAACTGTTTAAATATTTGTTAAAAAGGATCAATTAATATGATTCCAGTATTCAAACTACATTAACTGACTGTTTGCGTTGATTAATAATAATTGCTCCAAATACTAAAAAACTGAATTTTTTATGGGCATTAGACAGCGTGATAAAAAGTAACACCTTAAAAATGATATTTTATTTTTTAATAAATGCTTATAATAACAGAGACTAATTTGATAACTTATTACTATATTGATTTCTGACTCAAATCCACATTTATTTATAATAATTTATTAACGAACACAATTAAGTATGTAATTAATTAGTATATGGGCGGAAATAATGGTGTTATATTTAATTAATGGTATACTCTTTTATAAAGATTTAAATAGTTTTCTTTTTTGCATTGTTAATGGGTTAGTAATATTATCGTTTCGCTAAAAACGATAATATTACTAGTCTGTACATTTTGTACATTTGTTGCTTTAAAACAATCTAAAATGTCAATATTCCATGGATATATTGATAAATGAGGTCTAAATTATAAGAAAATGCATTTTCTACAAAAACTTGAAGGGATAGGTAAAAAATGGTATAATACAATTTGATAGACAATTTAATTGTGCATCTGATTCTCCTAAAATATACAAGGCATTCCATTTAAATTAAAGAAGTTATTGCCGTTTGAAGCTAATAATTATTTAAAATAAATTTTTAGACACTCTGTATAAGGTAGTATTATTTTTATTATTGCAACACAATAACTGATCAATAAATAAACTTCATTAAATATTTAGTATTAAAAACATTGATACCCTTGGAGAAATGAAGCTTTAAAAATTTTACTGCAATTTGACAAAATAGAAAATTTTTCAAAAACTGTAAGGTTTAAGTATAATAAACCTTAATCAAATTTACCTTTATTTTAATCGTAGAAACTAAAAATGTAATAATATACAGGGTATTCCATTTAAAAAAATACAACTTTGATATTTTTTAGTTTTGATTATTTTTTTAGTATTGATATATTGTGGTGAACAACCCTGTATATAGCATTACACTTTTTACCTGGGTTACCTATGTTTATGCAACATGAGACTAAGATATTTATTGCGATACTGGTTCACCCTGTACAGGGTAAGTCTTAAATAAGTGCAAATATTTTTAGGGGTAGTATATTTCGGCTTCCGATACACTTATATGGGATTTTTTTTGCAAAAAAACCTAAAAATTTGAAATTTTTTGAAAAAACTTTTGGATTTTTTTTAGAAAATTAAAATACATCATTTCTTGATAATTTGCAATATAGGTAATAGATTAAATATACAAGAAAGAAAATCTAGAAAAGATTCAGCGGTTCTCAAAATGTAAGCAAAAAATATTTTTTTTTGGAAATTTTATCGGTTATTTTGTACTTATTTGAAAATCGGTAAAGAGAAAATATGTTTCTTTTATCGAGGTCTACCAGACCTGAAAATATGTGTACTTATTTATGACTCACCCTGTATATAACAAGTAAGTTTATAGAGAAACGTCATTTCCAAAAATATAATATAAAAATCTTCCTTATTTTTCAAAAGAAAGCCCCGATTACCTCCTGGCTTAAATTTATACTTAAATTAAAATATATTTTTATTTTAAAAATTAAATAAAAAAAATCTAAAGAGTATAATCTAATATTATGCTTTAGACTTTTTTGTTTATACAGGGTTGTTCACCACATACGACACGGATTTTTACAAATTGTAAGTTTTGGGTTCGTTGAAGGTCTATTAGAGCTACAATTTAAAAATATTTTTACAAGATACAGAGTGTCCCAAATAAGTAAAAAATATTATAGTTTTATTTTTTTAAATGGAACACCCTGTATATTATTCTATTTTTGGATTCTACGATTGAAATAAAGGTAAATTTGATTAAGGTTTATCACACTTAAACCTTACCGTTTTTGAAATATATTTCAATTTTATGAAATTATAGTAAAATTTTAAGGCTTTATTTCTCCCAGGGTATCGAATTTTAATACTAAATATTTACTGAAGATTATTTATTGATCAGATATTGTGTT